ATATATATATCCCGCCTTGTCACGCCGTATGTGCAAATATAAATAGTAACAATAGCAGGGCAGAAACCTCGTGCAATCCCATAATAAAGAGATGTCAACAAAAGGGCACTCCCGAGATACCATCTCGTAGTCCCAAAAGTAAATGCTTAACAAGGGATCTCCCGAGGTACCGCCTCATAGTCCCAAAAGTAAATATGAAAGACATGGGGGGGGGAGGGATCTCCCGAGGTACCGCCTCGTAGTCCCAAAAGTAAATATGCAAGAACAACAAGTACAACAACAATAATAACACTAATACAAGGGTACGATAAATAAATCAACTCAAGAACCTTCGATCGCAAGACACGGTAAAACTAGTTCGCAAGGAATAGCCATAATAAAGAATACTAGGTGTAATAAGAACAGCTCAACAGGGAAGAAAATAATATGTAACAATGATCCCACAATATACAGTTCAACAACAAGAAAACTAACACGAATCAAATAATTCCAAATAAGGGCAAATCAACTAAGGCATAGGATATCTGAGCTTCTTTTAAGTTTGAAAAATTATGAAAGAGATGCACAAATTCAAATAAAGGTAGGCGGCAAAAAGATAACCATAACCTCAATTAAGGGTGAACATTTACAAAAGGGATAACTACAACTTCAAATAAAGATAAGCAGTTAGGGGAAAGATAACATGGCAATAGAAGAGATAACAATTTCAGTTAAGGCACATATGACTCAAATAAGCATCAAGGGCGGATCATGAAGCAATTAATTCTAATTAAAACAGGTAGAGGTGAAACTAGTAATTTAGAAACGTAATCATAATGAAAACAACTGCATATTCAGTGAATACAATGACCTAAGAACCCTAAAAGGCCAATTTTTCACAAATAAATCCGAGCATGTACTCGTCACCTCGCGTACACGGACTACAATTAGCATAAAAGACTCAAATCCTAAGGGGTAGTTCCCCCACACGAAGTTAGGCAAGATACTTACCTAAAAAAAGACAGACCGATACTCTAAAATGAACTTCTCGGGTAAAATGACCTCCGGGTAGCCCAAATCTAACCAAAATAACTTCAAAGCACAATAAAACTCATAAGAAACTATTCCGGATCATAAAGCATCAATCTTTATCAAAAATATAAAAATCGACCCAAAAGTCGACCCTTGGGCCCGCACCTCGGAACCCGACAAATTTTACAAAACCCGAACACCCATTCCGATACGAGTTCAACCATACTAAAATCATCAAATTCCGATACCAATTCGTCCCTCAAATGATGATTTTTCATTTTGAAATTTTTCTTCAAAAACCACCATTTTCCTCAACTCAAAACACAAATTAAATAATAAAAATAAAGTTAAAATCATGGAATATATTAAATTCTAGGTGAAGAACACTTGCCCGGTCGATTTTCTTGAAAAACCCACAAAGAATCGCTCAAAACCGAGCTCTAGAACTCCAAAAATGGTCAAAATGGCAAAACCTCGGAATAGAGTACTATTTATTCTGCCCAGGTCTTAAAGCATCGCGAACGCGGAAGGGTGATCGCGTTCACGAAGAAGAAAAATGAAGGCTTCCAAAAGACCCTTTGCGAACGCAAGCAAAGGAACGCGAACGCGAAGCACAAGGGACAGGGACCTACGCGAACGCGAAGAGGACACGCGCAAGCGAAGAGTAAATGATCACCAGTGCTCGGGGCCTGGTTTCTATTACGCGAACGTGGAAGGAAAGATGAGAACGCGAAGAAGGAATAAGGCAGACCTTCGTGAACGCAAGAGCTTGAACGCGAACACGGAGGAGAAAACTAGATGACATATATCAGTAGTCCAAAAATAGAAGGAAATGGCCCGTAGGCCATCCGAAAACACCCGAGGCCTCCGGGACCCCGTCCAAACATACCAACAAGTTCCATAACCTAACACGGA